AGTGAAGTAGGGGGGGCCACAACGGATCTCACAAGAGGATCTTTCTGTTCGTGCAGCCCAGATGACTCAGACTATATGATAGGAGTGGTGCACCTTTTCAAACCCGTATGTCGCTCATTAAAGGACTACGACACGATAATTTGGCACTCGATCTAAAATGCTGGCAGGGTGCTATATAGCGGGGAGAATGGCGAAAAAACGAAGTGAAACGGTCAAAAAAACCTGCGAAGAAAAGCTTCCCGTAGGCATCTTGCCAATAAACGCTACGGTAGATTCGGCTGCACGTATGTGCTCACATATCCATGCAGCACCGCGGCCGCTCCACATCAGTCCCTTCGCTTCATACTTCTACTACTACATGCTTCGCAAAGGACGAAGCAATATAGTAGTGTCCAAGTGCTCGTACGCTAGTATGAGCATCAGGTACGGTCGTCCGTTGTGGCAGGCGGGCGCGGGGGGCATCCGTTGGTATGCTGCGCTCCAGAGGGCCATTGTAAGAGGCACCTTCCTTGGAAAAGGCACTACGCAGCGCGTGCTCAGGGGCGTGGAATTCTGCCCTGCCAGGCATGTTAACCCTACTCCTTAGGGATTTATCGTGCCAACTGCCTTTACTGGGCCTTCATCGCATTTATCTTAAGTACTTATCCGTAGTGACTCCGTCGAGTTCCATTCATAGCTAGTGCAAAGGGACAAGTTTTAGTTGAAGGAACTCATAAAGAGAGATGACTACTGCCAAAATAGGCGCCCTCTCTGAGCAATTGGAAATATCTCCAGATCAAAACTCAAAAGTTGCACTACTCACTTTATTTCCTCAAACAGATTATATTGTTTTCCTCCTGTAATATCGTCATCTCGTCGTCTGAATTGAGCGCTAATGCAGAGTACATTGGACACCATTCCATTGAGGTTATCTGAAAAATCTGTTTGATTCCTGTTCAGTTCGGTCCTCACACAGTCCTCCAATGACATAATTACACCACCCTTATCCCAAGTTTAGCGCAGGTGGTGCAGTGGCAAATGGCACCATACGGTCAGGTGAAAGGACCTTGGATCTAATCCTGTCTATGCAAAATTTCCTTCCTTCCGTGGAGAGCAGCTGGCACCAGATTTATTTGGAAGGACAGGAACAGTGGCTTTTTATCGGTCAGATCGATCCGTAAGACGTCGTTAAAGACGAACCGTTTTCAAAAGACACTACAATTTTGCTAAAAAGAAACAGGATGCGTGGCGCACACCAAAGCTGACCCAAAATGCCTGATCATCTCATAAGTTTCTTATGAATGACTATTAGCTGCGCAGAAGAATCAAGATATGATACCTTTCCTGGAAGTTGATTACCAGTCTGAAGACGCCAAGTGTTCTCTACAGATGACTCGCCAGGTCGACGTTTCCAGTTCGCCACTTTGCCCCTCATTGTACCGGCAGAAATCATTCCTTAAATAGAACGCGTTAGTGTTTCTTCAAAACAAATGAAAAAGAGCGCAAAAAATGCTAATTAGTCAGCACTATCAGTCCGCTGGGGATGCGCCACGCAGTAGACTTCTATTAAAACATCTAAAAGCGTACTTAAACTGCTCAGTGAGTTTGGAAAGGGGGGAGAAGGCCAGCTGCTGTTCATACTGCGGACTCAATCCCCGAGAAGAAGTCTTGTATCACTAAACTCACGCAGTACGTTGGGAACGTCCAGGTAACATAGAGTAGATTCAATCCAAAAGAATCGTAATGTAA